TTGTTATTAGAGTATGTATATATATATATATGTGTATATATATATATATATATATATATATATAGATATATATATATATATATATATAGTCTAAATCTTGTTTTTAGCCAGCAACATTTTGTCTCCATTCCTGCTTAACTTTAAACCAAACACCTTTCAAAAAACTCATTTATCCTTAGAAAAAGTTTCTGAGGAAGGTGTGAGTGAAATAAGATCTTTGCATTATAGATGAGACAGCAGACACTTAGGTTTTTGTACTGTATTTTTTATTGTTTTTTTTAATTTCAAGATAATCTATAAAGAGAATAATATAAATGAACCATCTGTACCCTCACACATTACCCCCACCATAGAATTATTTTGAAGGAAATCCTAGAGACCATATCATTTTACTTGTAAATATTACACTTCTCATACTTAAGAAAATGTATAGGTATATGTGCAGTCACTATATCATAAAAAATCCAGGCAGTTCAAATTTTCCAGTCTTGTAATTTTTTTTAAGTTTTTTGAGTCAGGATCCAAACAAGGGCCATACATTTTAGTTGATTAGGTCTCTTAAATCTCTTAATCTGTTGGCTTTAATTCTCTCTCTCTCTCTCTCTCTCTCTCTCTCTCTCTCTCTCTCTCTCTCTCTCTCACACACACACACACACACACACGCATTTATTTGTTGAAGAAAGTGGATCGTTTATCCTACATCGTCTGAATTTTGCGGATTGCATCGGGTTGTCTTTTTTCTTCTATTTTTAGTTCAGATTTAGGTTGGTTGTTTGGTTGGTTAATTAGTAAATATGTTTTAGGAAATATTGTTTTCTTCTGTCAGGAGGCATATATATGCCTGGGTACTAGATTTATTGAGGTGATCACTTTGTAAGTTATATAAATGCATAATCACTATGTTGTACATCTGGAACTAATATTGTATGTCAACTGTAACTGAAAAAATTTTTTTTAAATTAAATAATAACAATATGGGTCATCCACTCATATTAACATCTACTGATGAACATTTACTTAGCTCCTTTATTTCATTAGGAATTGCAAACTGGTGATATTTTAAATTTCTTTTTTCATTTATTAGTGGAAATAGCTGTACTTCATCATCTATTTGGTTGAGGTACAATTCTTATAGGAAAGACAATCTAATGGCTTGATTTTTTGCATTTATATACTAGTTACCAAAACAATGAAGGTGGTTTCCTAGCATCCTTCAAAGATGACTAATACATTTTTAAGTATCATTATGAATTTATGGATTTGAAGACATTTCATGCATCAGTCCATTACCATTGTTATTCTTATTGATATTCAGATTGTCCTATTTTAGCTACTGGAAACTTCTTCAAGTTGGTCCATTTGATACAACCTTAGTAATCTTTCATTTCTGGTAGGACAAGATATTCCAGGATCATCCTATACACTTCCTGACCTTGACTGGTAATCAGCCATCTAATGAGCTCTGATTCTTTTTAGTAGCAAAGAGTATTTAAAGACCATAATCTGGGCACATAGTAGATTTTTTAAAGTCGTGTAGTCAAAAGTAAAGTTAGAACAATTCATATATCTGTTCTGATCTAGTAATTTTCCATTACCACAGAAATTGGAGAGGTTGAAGTACAGTTTTAATTCAAAATAATGAACAACCTAAAAGAAACTTTCCTTTGACTTACATTTTGCTACAAAACTGGTTCCTCAGATTATACTTTTGGCCGCCTCTGGGTAGCCACCATCTCTTGCAGTGGAAATTGTAGTTCAATATGTGCTGATTGATAAAAGTTGAGCCAACAAGGATTAAAATTTCACAGTGAATAATCTCAACTCTATCCACAAATCAATAAAAGCTGACTGTAAAACCTCCCAAATCAACTAAAAGGTTTGGCATTATCAAAAGCAAAACTGAAAACTCTGACCTTGGATAGAACACTTAGAACATAAATTTCCTCATCTATAAATTAAGAAGTTGGATTACAGATTCTTTCTAGGATCTGAGTCAATCAGTGTAAAACTTTTTATCATTATCCGAATTGATCTTTTGCTTTCTTATTCTTTTATTCATTAAATATTTTTCAATCACTTAATGGGTGCCAGGGAATATTTTCGGAGGTAGAAATAGTGTGGGCAAAAATACCCAAGTTTTTTTTCCTTCCATACCCTGCTAAGAGGAGATACTTCCATCATCTATTCATTGTGTGTGGCCTTAATGATAACAGTCCTAAAATTCACCTTGTATTTTCTAATCCATTTCTTGTTTGAGAAGTGAAGTCCTGAGCACTGTTACTGATACTTTCCCATACTGAAAAATAGCTTGCATTAACTTTCTAACATTATTTAACATTCACCTTTGTTTAATCACTTTTTCTTTGACATGAAGCTTTTTGGTTTAAAAAATTTCTCATTAGTTAAATTATTTGGGATGATAAAATATAGAAGTTAATTTAAATAACCTGTCCTATGTTTCATTTGCACCTTTAAAAACTTCATGTTTTTAAAAAAATGCAATATTTTTGGTGATCAGAGTTAATGAAGTATCAGTATTTATATATTATTGCATTATATTAGAAGGATATAAATAATTCAAGTCATCAGATTTTCTATATAGTGATTTTCATGTGAAATGATATCTTGGTATTAAAAATGTTCACACTCATCTATTTAAAAAAATCACAGTTCTCTTAGTTAAAAGTTGAATTTATTTTTATTTTTACTCTATATACAAAAGGTAGTCAGAAATTTGTATTAAAATGGGTTTGGGTCAAGGGAAACACAATTTCAACAACAAATATACTTCATATTTTATTATTTGGGTGTTTTTTGATGCTAATAATAATAGAGGGTTCTCCCCTTGCCCCTCACTGAGAGACAGCCTTCAATTAGTCGGACAGAAAAGCATATCAAAGATTCCTCCTAGAGCTAAATCATTTTCTGGTAGTGATAATAAACTTGAAACGTACAGAGATTGATTACATGCGTTTTCAGGCTCCAAGGATGCTGTTTAGGACAGCATTTTTTAATATTTATAAATAATTACTTAAAAGAGTTAATTCACAAAGTTTATTTCCAATGCATACCAGTGTAAAAAGACCCTGTTATGATAAAATTTCAGCAGTGGCCATAAGTCCATTATAATCCTCTGAACTCACATTCCTACTTTTTTTAACTGACTGGTTATCAATCCTTATATTTGGTGATGCTCATTAAGTTATGTTGCTGCTTTATACAACACACATTTTTTATCACGTGCTTTTTGAGTTAGAATCCCTTCCTTCTAAAAATAACTTCTTATGTAGTACATATGGTGTTGACCTACCCATATATTCCCATTTTTCAGGGAATGAATCGATTTTCTTCCTACCTCTGCTAACTCTATAATGTCCACATAGACATCACTATATGAGCATGTTGGTTTTTGGTGTGTGACTGTACATACAGTCTCTCTTCACTCTATACTCAATGATGTGAAGGATTTCTTCCCATTCTCGGTCAGCTCTTGTAACTGCCAGCCAAATATTCTTCTGCACACATTACAGTAGGTGTAACCATGTTTCTATAGAGCCATTCTACCCAACACAGTAGCCACTAGCCAGCAGTGGCTGTTAGGTTCTTAAAGTGTGAGTGATCTAAATTGAGATGTGCTCTAAGTATAAGATAGATTGGATTTTGGAGACAGTATGAAAAAAGAATGTAAAATGCCTCAAAACAGTTTTTTGTCCATTTTATGTCAATATTTTAGCTATGTTGGATTACATAAACTACATTATTTTAAAATAATGTAATAATCATTACATGATTGTCACCATTTTCATTTTACCTTTAATGTGGTTATTAGAAAATCTTAAATTACATATGTGGCTCACGTTATATTTCTTAATGGACACCACTGCTCTAGAGTAATGTAATGTCAGTCATCCAGATCCCTGTCTTTGCATAACAGATAGTTCTATTCCAGACTTTTCCCCCCAAGAATCCTTGGCGACTACATGTAGCCACCAGCTTGTCATTTGGCGTGGCAGTGCCTGTATGTGACTTGGGAATGGACTTTTCTACATGTAGACACAATAGGCATCACCACAGTGTCATACTTGTTACCACCCAGGACAAAGGTCTAGCCTATCAACGTGAATGAAAGCATTGCCTTTATTCTAGAGTCTTGCATTTGGCATTTGAAAAAATCATTTTTACCATTATGAGAGTTATATTACTTTATGGATCTTTGGCTACGAGTTTTGTAAATGACTGTCACATATGAGATAAATGTTAATGAGGAAAGCCTAACAGTTTTGCTATAGTAAACACTAAGTTATGGTTTTACTACTTTAACTGATAACACTGTATATTATCCATGAATATTAGAATAAGAAACATACTTTACTGATTCTTCTATTTTGTTACTGTTGGAAATATAGTTAACATAATTCACACTACAGTTATGACATGCTGTACTTGTTTTATTGTAAAATTTAAGATATATATAAAAAAGACAGCAAACTTAAACTGAGAAATCAAACAGGTATTTCCCCATGTATAAGACGCACCCCTTTTCGAAAAATTTGGGGTCTAAAAACTAGGTGCGTCTTATACATTGGTTGTATGAGCGCAAAAGCAAGCGCAAAGAAAGTGAGAAATGCAAGTAAAAAAAATCTACAACCATCGTATAAGATGCACCCAGTTTTTAGACCCCAAATTTTTTGGAAAAGGGTGCGTCTTATACATGGGGGAATACGGTATGTCTTAATCTCATGTAATTTAACGTGCTATATGTAACATGCTTTGAAACATTACTTTTTTAATATAAAGTATTTGTAATATAAAGCATTTTGTTCAAAACCTAGATTTCACTTTGTATATTGAAAATTCTCAAAACTACATATTTTAAACTTCAAATGATCCGCAATAAGATTATAATTGCATCTGGTGTAAATATGGTAGCTAAGCAATAAAACCTTTCATCATTACAGAAACATTCTCTTGTAAAACACCAATTTTGTCTTAATACTTAGGAAACGAGAATTCGGGCAATGGATAAGAATGCCAAGGCAAGAATCCAAAATTTCTCTGTCATCAACCCTGTTGCCGGACAGGCCATGACTCATATTTTTGCGGCTGACAATAGAGAAGACCTTCACAAGTGGATGGAAGCCTTCTGGCAGCATTTCTTTGACCTTAGTAAGTTGATGTTTGGATTTTCTAGTAGTATATTCATTTAGCATGAAAGCATGCACACAGCAGTCTCAACCTTAAAATTATAATCTTATAGTTTGTATCAAAATCTTTTATGTTCTTGAATAAAATGGTGGTATATATCCAAGCAATGATGCTGTTTTCTCTCAACCTTTCCCGAGTGCCTGACTGACTATAGAATAGCATACCTTTGAATTCCTAGTATCCCTACAGGGCTCTTACTTTTAAGTTCTTCTGATCCCTAAAACAACTAGACCCCATTTTCTCAAAATATTAGGTTTTAGCTGCTTAAGGCAATGTGCTTGGTCAAAGGAATAAGAAGACGTTTGAGGAATAAGAAACTTCTCTAGGATAGTGATGATCCTAAAATATTGAAACATTCAGAAGGAGGCTTATTTTTCTGTCACCTTCTGTTAACTCCAGATTCATTATAATATCATTGTGGACATCATCCAAGGAGATTTTTTTTTTAAACCATACATATGGTTTTTGAGTTTCAATAATACAGTCCAATGGATGGATTATAAAAACAATGTGATAGTAATGTAATAAGAGTTCCAGTATGTAAAATATTTGAGGCTCTAACATTCTCAATTTAAAGAGGAATTTTATCAAAAGGAAAATACTGAAATTGTATATTGAAAACGTGACTATTGATAATGGCGATTTCTAATCAAATTAAGCCTGCTGTTCGATTTAACCAGTATTTTATGTCTCTAGAATGCTTATCTGTAGAATTACAAGTAGAGCCATTTCTGAACAATAGTTACTTCTGCAACTCCTAGAAATACTCCCAGAGACATTTTATGACTTCTTATAAGCTGTTTTTGGGAAATCTGTGAAAGAGTTAATATCTGCAGTCCTCAGATTAAGTTTTATAAACCTACTCTGATCCATTGCCTGGTCAAGTATTATAGTGATTGATGGTTGGGGAGGAGGCAAAAAGGGAACTAAATTTATTGATTACCTTCCACGTACCATATGGTTTCATTTATTTCTCATAACAACCTAGTGATGTAGAAATTATTTTCCTCTACTCTAAAGATGAGAAAACTGAGTCCTGAGAAGGTTTCTGGTTTGCTGCAGGGAACTGGAAGACTCCCTCCTTGGCCTTCTTGGGATCCTTAAGACTTGTCTTCCTTAAATGCTATCTCTAGACACTCAATAAGTGTTTACATATTTGTTCCACGCTTATCAGCATACACTACATTTTTTTCTTTTAAAATTTCTGCTGATCTTAGGTGTGACTTAAAAGATAACAACTTCCTTTTGTTTGCTGATCACTGCTGAAATTTTAACTGCTTTCTGAAATGCTCTGATTTAGAGAGTCTGTCTTACAAAAGATCATATTATTTTTAGAAACAATCCTGGTGTTTTATAATTTTTATGTACATAAAAACAGGAAGGAGGTAAAAATGCCAGGATATTATAGTTTGGATATAGACTACTATCAGATCGTATGATTTTTCATTCTGCAGATTATGTAAAATAATTTATCGTGCTAAAAAGGGGAGTGGAAGAATCTGATGGCATTTTTGTACTGTCAAAGTAATAAGAAAGTGATGACAACAGGGTTCTTAGGTCTGGCTATTTCTTTAGTACTGAGTGCTGTGGGAATAAAATCTCCCCATCTGATTTTCAAAGTATAAATTCTCATGCATTTGTACTTTAGAATTCATTGTGTATGGAGATACAAAGCAAAGATGGAAGTGTTTATACTGTCCTGAAGATTGACTTGCACTTTAACATTTTTACCTTCCTAGTGATAAGTGTAGCTAGCCTCTTGTGATCTTAAGTGAAATATGATATGTGGAACAAAGTAAAGGATAGATATCCAAAGCACAATGAAGAGGAATTTAACATTTAGAGCAGATTTCAATTATTTGACTCTGCTTAAGTGTAGGAAATCAGGAGGATGACATAATTAGAAATCAGGAGAAAACATGAATGAAATGAGGTCTGTTCAGCCTGTAGAAGAACAGCCTGAGGAGTGGAGGTTGGGAGGCAAGGGGGGTGTAAGTTAATTTTTAATATTTGAGAGCTAACAAACATGTAAAAGGGGAAGGACACTTGTTCTGGATGATCAAAAAGGGTAGATAGAGCCTAGGAATAGTGGGCGAAAGATACATTTTTTTCAAATATTTAATAAAATAAATATTGAGTTACATAAGCAGCTTAGCATAAAAGATTGTTTTCACTGGGAACATTGTAACAATAAATACTGTAGGAAACATCTTCAATATACAGATTTTGTGTAAATGAAACACTTATTTAATATTTCATACTGGCTCTTGATTTTTATGTGAGCATATTGGTAGCACATACAATATAACTAGGAATACTAATTTCTTCACTGGTAAAAATGTTTCCGTTGTAAAGTCTTGACCAGTGAGCATACCACAATTTTGTACCTCTGACTTCAGTAACACATGGGATAATGTGGCTTTATATTCCAATTTTCAGCATGATTAGTATTCTGCTACCAGTTTAACCATCAAAAGCTTTCATCTATCAATATAGAGAAAATACTGCACTTTATAATTTGTCTAAGATTTGACAGAAATGTTTGCTAGTTTAAAGTGTTTCATTATTTTTCCATTAGATATGGCCTTTTTTTCTGCCCCCAAGAAGGAAACGCTGGCTTTTATATATTCATCTAAAAAAGGAAGTGGAGGGGAGGAATAAGTTATCAGATCTCAGATCCTATTAGATTTACATTCTGCAGAACAACCTTTGAAGCCTCAAACTCAAGGTTTTATTCCCTTTATGAGTTGTTATGTAGGTTATTTTGAAATTTTTATGATATTCTGTATTTAGCTTTGTAATAAAGCATACTAAAAGACTTTTTATGTTGCTTAGCTATTTAAGGTGATGGATTTAAAATGTATTCAATATATTACTATATTACTGTGACAGTATATTAGACTTAAAACAACAAAAACAAACAGATAATTTGACCAAACATGAAATGTCTTTAATTTTTAAGCCATGGAAAAATAATTAAGTTGGATATTGAATATGGATATTGAGAATATAGTAAAAGGAAAACAAATACAGATCATAAATCAGCCTAAAAGGCACATGTGTATTTACATTTACTTTTCTACTGATGTAAGATGGAATTTAAGAACAATGAACCTCAATAACTTAAACTTTCATAATATGAATATATAGACACAGTTTCTCACATAGTTGTTACCCAGCATGCAGGAGCACAATAAATATGGAAAGGTTAAATTTTTTTTATATCCACTCAGAAGAAATAAAGGTGAGAATTTTATTTTAAGATGAAAATAGTAAAATATAATTAAAAGAAAAATTAATGTTGGCCACACTTTTAAAGTTGAACTTAATAATCGAAACAACTTATTCTAGAGTATATTTTTATTCTGAATGCTTAATGGCCTTATTTAAAGTGTCCTTCCTAAAATAAATTAGATTCAGTTAGAATTTTGAGTGTTCTGTCTTTATAATAATAGGCTTTTATATAGCTTTTACTTAAATGAAGTTACAGCGTTTTTCTGGAGTTATATGATTTTTTAAAAGCATGATAATCATCTTGAAGAGGTAATTGTTAAATAACCAATTTTTATTTCTTAATTAGAATTTTCAAAGTTAAAATAATTTTTGAGAACCACTACTTCTTACTTTTTTTCTACTTCCTCTTAGGTAACTATATTTCAGTTGATTTTTACCTTTCAACTATCTTAAATACTGGACTTTTTATTTAATATTTAAAAGAAGAGAACTTGTATTAACTTTTGCCATGAATAGAAATTGTAGTTATTGACCATTTAGTGAAATAGTATAGTATTTAATAGGCTAGAGACCTTTAGCTTAAGGTCTGTGCAGAGAACTTCATTTTAAAAATAGATTACTTTTATGCCTAGACTTGGACTTTGAAATTATGGAGAGTACTAGATTTTGTGGTTTCCTAAAGGTAATGCTTTATAAATTCACTGTTATTTTTCAAATTGAAAAATGTGTGGATATCTATAGAAAATGAAATATACATCTTCACATTTATGTGTTAAACTAGCCTGCCTTTTTCTGTCTTTCTTTAGGCCAATGGAAGCATTGTTGTGAAGAACTTATGAAAATTGAGATTATGTCACCACGGAAACCACCTTTGTTCTTGACAAAAGAGGCGACTTCAGTCTACCATGATATGAGTAAGTGGGGTTTGTCTTCTCTAAGCTGCAGGGTAACAAAAACAACATTGTCCACACTCAAGCAGCTTATTCTATTGACATTAAAATGCTAAAATTTTCAGGGCACAGTCAAAATGAATGAAAAAAGACTATGATTATAGACTAAGGAACTCATGTTTAATAGATGAATTAATACAAAATTAATGAATACACATTTTTCGTAGTTTGAATGCTTAAGATCAAACAAAAATGTTAAAGCTTCAAAATGTATACGGGTACACTGAAAATAAATATTAGCTGAGTAGCTGATGAAAATTCTGAAAATGTAAACATGCAGATTCTAAAATGTCACGTTCATTAATTTTTTTCTGTATTTTATTAAATTTGTTTTAAAGTACTGTTGATAAATGCATATTAATAAATGGAAGCTTTCATCTCAGGCCAAAAAAATTGGTTAAGTTTAATACTTTAGAAAATGTAAAATTTCTAGACTCATTAATGTTCCTTTTTCTCACACATTGAAGGATATTTATTTATCTTTGTAGGATGCCTCAGTGAACAGTGTTGTGAACAAGCACAAGTCAACACTAAAATCTGGTCTATTTTGCCACTCATGTCCCTGCACTGACATATAATTTTAAATGTTAGATTAAAAATGATGCATTTAGGTTTATACATTTGAAAATACCAGTGATTCATTTAATAGACATTTATTTCTGTTCTCTAATTTTTGCCACGGAAAATTTCTCCCAGCATTCTTATCACCTAAATGGTATCAGGGGTTCACTGTATTTCTTTGGGTTTTTGGTTTTGTATTTTTACTCTATTAACAGAGACTTTTCTGGTCTACAGGAAAGAATACTAATTCAGTTGCATTCATCCTGGTTTACACATCAGGCTTTTATAAAACTGGAATCTACTCTTACCTAGAAGTCAGAATGGATTTTAAATTCAAGGAAAGTTACTTAATAAATACTGAATCTATAGAATTTTTTAAAAAGTCTGATGTAACTCCACTCCTTTGAAAGCTGGATTTTACTTATTTAGGGGTGTGTGTGTGTGTGTGTGTGTGTGTGTGTGTGTGTGTGTGTGTACGTGCACATGTGTGCACAGTGCACAATGCATGATCTTGATTTTTGGTTGATTGGTACGGTTATTTTTACAACTAAATGCATAGAAAAAAACCCACTTGCTTATTGCTTATCCTAGTGTATTTTTGATGACTATTAAAGATAGCATATTGGTTTGGAAAATAATAACTTACTCTAGTAAAATGTATACTGTTCTGAATTTTTTCCCATGTATTTTTATTTCTTTAAATTATTACAGGCATTGATTCACCTATAAAACTTGAAAGTTTAACTGATACAATACAAAGAAAAGTTGAAGAGACGAATGGACAGTTCCTCATCGGTCAGCACGAAGAACCCTCACCTCCTCCTTGGGTAGCACTTTTTGATGGTGATCATCCAGTGGTCATCCAGAAAAAGGTATTACCTTCTGCAAGCAAGCAGTTACAGGATGGGAAACGGAAAAAGAGGCGAGCACCTCTTCCTCCTTCTGATAAAGCTCCATTCAGCTTAAAAACACAGAGCAGTACAGATGAATCGGCTAAAGACCACTGGGAAAAAACAAGTGTATCTCAAACTTCGTCTTTAGATACCAAATTATCAACCTTAATGCATCATTTACAGAAACCAATGGCTGCTCCTCGAAAACTTCTTCCTGTCTGGAAAAACAGTTTAACCAATGGTGAACACACAGACACTAAAACCAGTTGTGAAGCCAAGCCAGTACCAGCTCCAAGGCAGAAATCTATCAAAGACATTTTGGACCCTAGATCATGGTTGCAGGCCCAAGTATAGAAAACCCTTAATGTATAAAACATTGAACAAAATCTGTAACTGTGAGTCTTGATGCAGAAGCACTATAGATGTGGTAATATTAAATTATGTAGATAAATAAGCTAGTTATGTGCATCAATAATAAGCTATTAGGTATAAAATGTTTTATAATGAAGAAATGAATTTCTCTTTCACTTTTTTTTTCAGAATATAAGTGATTTTTCCTAGCAGAGTGTAAGAGGCAGCTTCTAGACAATATCTTAATTGTTGGAAGGGTTAATTTATTCCTAAATTAGTACCAGGCAGTGAACAAGCACTAGGCAGAAGAAAGCATTAAAATTTCTTTGGGGAGAGACTGTTGAGTAATTCAAAATGTGTTAAATATGAACCATAGTCTCATTGTGAGAATTTTAATTCTAATGGAATGTTTCAAAAGTATTATTCAAACCACAAATTATAAAATCCACCCAAGAAAACTTCTTAGCATTCTGGAATTCTCATCTAATGCTTCACTGGCTCTCATCTATTGTTTGACTCATTATCTCACTGACCTGTTAAATTCCTGGATAAATTTTAGAATATTAAATTCTTCATTTTTAAAGGGAATTTGTAATGTGCTATTCAAAGGTGTTTCCTTGATGAACCCTGAGATCCTGTAGACATTAACTCTTATAAGTAAGTAAAGTGTAACATTTATTAGTTTAGAGAAAAGGTAGATAAAATGTTCTTCACTTCCATTTTTCTACACATAGTGCTAATTTCCATTGTGACATTGGAATTTGGGGAAATGAGAAGCTGATTAACACCTGAAAATTCATTTAATACTTATTTAAAAAACAGGTGGCCAATTCAAAAATATAAAAAGTGGGCCATGATAATAAATTTCAGAATTAATCCTTTTTAAAAATTTTAATTAGATTTCCTTTTTCTGGTAAGGGTTGATGTCTGCTATTGATATTATTCATTATAAGTCATATTCTTACAATAATGACATCGGAATCATTTCCATAGGAGGTAATTTCCATAGCAACTAATCATAGTGACCCAAACAGAATTATAAAATCAAGCGAGGAATAAATAGCAAGAGATTGAATACCTTAAAGGAACAAATCCATTTGTTATAATAATGCTTCGTGTAAACAAGAGCTGAACAGTTTTTAAAATCTAATCAGAATTTCCCAATAAAACAGTTTCCATAATGTGTCAGCAACTGCACTAAAAATCTCAATTCACAGTGAACCCTAAATGTCATTTCAAGAAATAAGAAATTACTGCCCTGCGTATAATATCTAGAGATCTTTTTAATGCCCATAAGAATTCTTTTTGGATCAGAACTAGGTTATTACAAAGTAAAATGGACACTTGACAAAAAATAACAATTTAAATGGAGCCTTTCTTTATTTTTATATAGCAGAGTCTTTTTTCATTTATATAGAATGATGTAACTGCCAGGTTACTTTTGTGTTTGCCCAGGACTCTAGTCAGAATTGGGGCTCAAGGGAGCAATGATATGAAAGGTCTCTTGTGATTGGCAACATCAGGATAGACATAGTATTTGATGAGAAGGACACCTATATGATTGCCTGATAGAATTTAGAAACAACACATATATGAAAATCTAAAAAGGTAGGATGAATTTTTTTATAACTGGAAGGCTCTTCTAAATCTCTGTGTGATTGCCAATTCAGTAAATGATGTATTCAAAATCGAAAGGGTATTGTTATTTGAATTTTTTTTTTAAACCTCGCTGCTGTTTTTGACAGCATTTGTGACTGTCATTGCCACTAAATTATCGAGCTAGAAGATGCTGTAGGCAAAACTGTTTCTGAAAGTGGCATCTAAGCAATCTTTTTGTTTTAGTTGAAGCCTTATAACAAACCAGTGTTAAAACTTCCAAATTATATTCTTGTCATTTCTCCTTATGCATATTATATCAAGAAGAATTTAAGTTGTACAGGAAAGAGAATTTATTCATAGAGAAATTACCTAGCAGTGGTGCCCTCAGTGGGGCACTTTGAAACAAGGCTGAAGCCCTTCTTTCTTAAACCATTTAGGTGAGGGCTGACCAAGGACCACCTCCCCCACCAAAATTATTCAGAGGGCCCATCTTTCTGGGGGCCCATCTTACTGTATATTACAAAGCTTTTGAAATTGGGATGAAGTCTTCAGCCGTACTTTCTTTGACATTGTGTTCATTAAATGTTAGTTCAGGTCCCCCCAAAAGGTATACAAAGTTGAGGTTTTTCCCTCCCTCCTTTTTGTTTCTCCCTCCCTCCCTCCCTTCCTCCCACAGTTAAAAAAATACAAAATAATAAAATAAAAATACTGAGTTAAACAGTTTGTTAAGGAGTTCATCAAAAGAAGTATTTGTTTTCTCATTTTCTAAACTGGGAGTTTATGACAGAAAAATATGCCATGTAATAAAAGACGTTTCAGCTTTTTATGAGCTGGCTTTTCACATTCTTTGTCTTTTTAATTTGTTTCTTGATATATGAAGACTATAAACTTGAAACAAAGAATTAGCTGTCAGATCTTGATAATATTATAATTGGAGAAACATAATAGAAAGAATAGATATTTTATTATAATACTGATGATCAAAAGATAATATCTTAGAAAATTACATTTACGTTTCAAGCTCTGGGATATAAATTACTTACAATAGCATTAAGATAGTATTTTTTAATTGCTGCAAAATGGTGAACCTCTTATTTAAACATCTTGCAAGAACAAAGAAGGCATTTTGTTGTTATAAACGCATACCTTCTAAGGTAAACAGTCTTTCAAAATATCAGGCATGCCAACCCTTGGTGTTTTTATTAACTCCTTCTTAACTGTCTGCAAGGCCTCCTGATTTCTTTTAGATGGATATGCATATATATGGAAAACTAAATCCATCTATTATAAATGCTCTATCTTTACCCTGTAAGATCCCACTGAATGTTATTTTACCCGGTACTATTTGATTTACAGACAATTCACGTATGGTAGGCTAAGCAGTGAAATAGTTCTTTAGGCTTATGTTCAATATTTCATCCACCTACAGTGAAGTTAATTAATTCAGTCCAAAATGAAATTGTAAGGCAGTTTGGTGCAATTCATGTTAAATGCCATTTGAATGTAATCACCTGTGTTACCATGAGTGAGGAACAACCTTACCAGATGGAGATAGAGTGCCGTACCATGAACAAGAAGAGAAGTGCTTTGGCAGGAAAAATATCTGTCCCTGGGGGTCAGAGTTTATCAAAATCTGTTTTTTTAAACAGTGAATTATTGAACAGTAATTCAGCTTTAACTGATGACCATTTGTATTCTTGTAGTTATCTTCAGTGTTCTATTATTAGTCTTAAACTATAATGTAGACAGAGTTGACTTTTGTCACTTACACTTCAAAGATATTACTATTTTTAAATGTTTACCTGTTTATGTATAACTGTTTCATTGCTGATAATTATGTGAAAATGGTTTATTCTGGATCATGCATATTCTTAGTTACTAGAAAAGATGTTACCTTAGACTTTTTGAAAGGCAAGATTTCATTTGAAAATATGGTAAGGCGTGTTCTTTTCTATGGTACACTTATATAATTCACATTGTATGTATTTTGTATTAATTAAATGTGGGTCAAACTTCTGGATTAAAAAATATATCACAGATTATGTATTTTTTAAAGTGCTGAAGATTGGTAAGAAACCCAAGGTCATGTGATGAAAATGTCTGTACATTAAGAGAACTGATTCATGAAGACATTTTCTAGCTTTTTTTCTTAGGTTCCTTCTCTGGGCTAGATTCATAGAAGTAAACAGTGTTGAGAAGTCAGTTTAATCAGAGAAAGAGATAGCTAATAGCTGGTGCTAATTATTAAGACTAATATTCGATAGCTTTGGTATAACTAACACTTATTAAAATGTTTGTATATAATCCTTCTTGCAGTGTACTTTTATAAAAATCTTCATTGATGTCACCTTAATTTTAGGCTAGTGATGCAGAATTTCCCCAGAATTTATGTCACTCTGATAAAAAAAAAAAAAAATAGGGACTCAGGATACTCAGTTGCTGTTAGCCACAAAGAGACTCCTGATTTTAAAGCACCTCTCTCAGTACTTAATTTATGCCCATGGAGCACCTCAGGGGAGCAGGGAGAGATGAACAATCCTGGCTCAATGATATTACTTGAACATTTTATTTCTAAACCTGTAATGTGACCAGAAATATTTAACATTTCCTTTTAGAAAAAAACTTCTCTTTCTCTAAGGAGAGAGGCCTGCTAATCAATGTGCTCAGATAAACAAAGCACTTTAAGGTTCAATTAACAAAAATTAAATAATTACAGAAATATTAACATTTTTTATCTGAATATAGGAAAAAATATCAATTCTGGAATGTTTGATAATTAGAAAGCTAAGCAAAATCATTTCAAATCTTGCTGAAAATTGTGTTTTAAGTTGCATCAGATTGCTTTGAGAGATATGGTAATCTCATAATGTAACTACCAAGGAGAAAGAGATTGCAAAGGTCTTATATATTCATAATTATGCTATGTTTGAAACATGTTTCAAAATAGATTGTTTTGTTCAAAATGGATCGTTTTCTGAGTTGAGATTTTTTTTGTTGTTTACTCAAAAGAAAACATTCTTATGTTTTTGTCAATGGATACAGTTTTGTTAAATTTAGCCTTCTTAATAAACATTATTTTAACTGGATTAGTTGTAGCATTTTTGGTTTTCTATTAAAGGGGAGAAAAAGCATTTAAAAAAATTATCCATCCACTTACCTCAAGTATTAAAACATGTTTCTATATATATGAAATATAAAACTAGATGATTCCATACAAATGCTCAAAGTCTTCAATGCAGATATTTTCAATCGGTTTTGAAAGATTTTTTTAAAATGTGCTGCCAGTGCAAGTGGAATGAATGGAAGTCCAAAGCTCTTTCCATAGCTTCAGAAAGCATCACGACCCATCTCCAGCCTGGCCCTGTACTCACGGCTCTCGTTTTGGACGTTGCCTCCACAGTCTGTGCAGCCTCTGCTTGCTCGTCATTTTCTTACTATACTCTTTGCCTAAAATAGCTTTCCTCCTTCTCTTCTTCATGCAAGCTCCCCTCAACACACAGCAAATTGTATTCGTTCTTCAAAATGGTGGTAGCACCTCGAGATTAGCCAAGACTTCGTATCCTCAGCGTCTCCACCTAGGTAGTGATACGCCTTCCTTTGTGCTTTATATCTGTCTACCTTTATGCACATAGCCTAAGCCCTTGTTCATATTTTTTATTTCTTCCATGTATTAATTTTGCGAATTTGTCCCGTGCATAACCAACTGCCATGAAGTGATCAACTTAAAACGGCATCCACTCATTATCTCACATTTCATTAGATGAGAAGTCCAGGTGGGCTCTGACAAGCTCTTTGCTGAGAATTTCACAAGGCTGATACCAGAATGTTGACCAGGCTACTCTGGAGTCTCTGGGACAAATCTGCCTCCAGGCTTTTTCAGGTGGTCAGAGAATTCAGTTCCTCTGCTTGTGTGTTGGCCAGGGTGTCTCAGCCCCAAGACCTCTCTCCGGTCCTTGCATCCTCAAAGCTAGAAGCAGCTCAGTAAATAGCGCCGGCATATCGTATCCTCCTCATGGAGGATTTGAATCTGTCCAATTCAAATCTGACTTTTTCATCCACCAACAGCTGGAGAAAACTGCTTTTCAAGGGCCCAGGTGATTACATGTAGCTCACCAGAATAATTTCCCTTTTGATTAAAATCAGGGTCCACTGATAAGTAACCTTAATTACATCTGGGAAAATCCCTTTGACATGTAATATAATCACGGGCATGATATATTCATAGGACAGGACATCTAGGGGTGCCATTTTAGAATTCTGCCTACCACAAGTGAGACAAGTTTTTCAAGGGCAGGGAGCATGTCTTATTGGACCTTTTAACCCTGTCATGGTTCAGTGATAATGAGGGCAGATGATTGGGTATGTATTATGTGTAAGGTATTGTGCTAAGCACATGAATTCACTCCTTTCAACCTTTCCACATCCCTCCTATTAACCCTGCTAAAGACTTGCCCTAGGCCACACTGCATGGTAGTTAAGAGTATGAATTCTGGAATTAGACCTGGATTAAATTCGATCTCTGCCATGACCTAGCTGTGTTATTTGAGGCTGTTTTTTTTTAACCTCATCGAAGTATTTTTTTCTTTAAGATAAAAATAGTACTTACCTCAATGATTATTAAGCAAGATAATGCCTGTAACACATAGTCCAGGGCCTACCACATAAATTGTTACATTGTTTCTATAGCATAGCATATAGCAGGTAACAAATGTAGACAGGGATGAGTAACAAGATATCATTCATATATATATATATATATGTGTGTGTGTGTGTGTGTGTGTGTGTGTGTGTGTGTGTGTATCTATATATATATACATTTATATTTATATTATGTATATATACATATTTATATTTAAAAGAACTCATAACCCTGACCCCATTTTCATTTTTTGCTTGATGTGAACATTTTGGACTTAGAATGCATGAGAATTTAAGAGATACCTAAACATGTGTCAAAATACATATTGTCCCTATATTAGAACCCTATCTATATTAGACACTATTGGAGTTCATTAAGTTGAAAAGAATACTTATTCTTGAGCAGTGAATATTCTAGTTGGTGGGATCAACCATTTTCAAGAATACTGAGATGAATTGCTGTTTGAACTTGCCTCCAATATATCTAACAAATATATCTGCATACAGACATTTAAAACAATCCCTACCTAACAGTGAACTTAAGAGATTAGTTGAAAAGGTTAAATAATATATAAAACAACAGTGAGCAATATAAAAATACTATAATACAACTAAGCATCTAATTTTAAGTGCTATGAGAGATCAGTGAAGGGTATGAGAACGTTTTACAAAGCAATTTTTTAACACGTGCCAAAGGCCTTGTATCTTTTCACTACTAAAATGAGTTAAGCAGTGCAAAATTATAGATTATGAATGTCTTGGAACGATGTGAGAACAAGTCATAATAGGAAGATTTTTCAAATCTAGGAGAAATAAGTACAATAGAAGTCAGTTTATCCAGGAGGGCCCTGGAAGAGTAATTTTACAGCATTCAAATTTAAGAGAGATTAGTAATCATGGAAGTTGTGCAAAAGAATGGACTGCATAGGGTAGTAAGCCTACTGTTAAGGTAAGAATCAAGAAAACATGTTGGTAACACAAACAGGTTGACATGGCTGACGTGAAAGTGGCAATGGAGGAAAGGTGGGATCTGTTGGACCACATGCAGGACCTTGAATGCCAAGTCAAGGAAACAAGACAAACTAAGTAGGAACAGTTGACACTAGGACTAGAGTTGGGAGAGATAGTGGAAAGAGCACTAAGCTTATGAGTGGGGATTGGGTTCTAGTCTCTGGTTTACCATTAACTAACTGTGTCGTCTAGGGCAACCTATTGATTCACCTGTTCAACTTCGTTATAGTAAAACCACTAGAATGACTGTCGGTGTTTGTCTCAAATGAATCTAGAGAGCCCTGGGCTCCTGAGTTGATGCCTTCAGAGGTGCCAAACAGTGGGGGGTGATGCCAAGTGAGTGAGCCTCTGGTTCTCTCTCTCCTAATTCAGCTCCAAGTTAATCAGTTTTATGTTTTAACCTCATGAGATGGTATTATAACAACCACCATTTTACAGATGAGCCGTTTGAGGCACAGAACAATTAAGCAACTTGCCCAAGGTCTCAGAGTGAGTGAGACAGGATTTGAACTAAATTGTGGTCCAACATGAGTACTAAACCTCCTCATTGTGCTAAAACAGCCTCCAGGTAGTAAATATGGAAAAGAAAAAAAAAAGCACTGAAAGCAGACTAGCTCCAAACTCTTTTTCCCTAGTGATGTGGTCACTTGGTATATCTCTATATATGAAAGCCGCAAACGAAAATCCATTTCAGTTACAATTAGATCTAGCATATACTATTTGAGGTACAATGCCTGGCCCTGGAGGCGTTTGGAGGGGAAGGTTAGGGTGTATGTAAACCTGACTCTATTGCCAGGCTGTGGAAAGCATTATAATAGAAATGAAGGGGAGGAAACAATATATTTCATACAAGGACATCAAACAAGTGGTATTTAGCTAGGCCTTGTAGTATGAGTTGGTTTTCATTAATTACATTTTTTTCGGTAGAAAACAACAAAAGCAAAAAAAAAAAAAAAAAGAAGTAAAGGTGGAGAAATTTATTGAAAGGCTGTTAGAAAGAAGCCCAGGAATGATTGCATGGATAAGTCAGGGTCCTCAGCAACATAAAGACTGAAAGAAGAAAGTCTTGTTCTTCTCCTAGCTTGTTAGAATAGTCTTTTAGGGTGGTGACTACATCACCATATTAAAACTGTTTCATATCAGGGTTACAAATGCATCACAGAACTTAATATCCAGAACTGTAGTTCTAAACCAGGGGTGATTTGTATCCACCATGGAACATTTGACAATGTCTGGAAACATTTTTGATTGTCTCTACTGGGAGTGTAAGGTGCTACTTGACTCTGGTAGGAAGAGACCAGGGATGCTGCTAAATATAAGGGCAGTTAGGACTGAGTTATACAAATATGGGGAAGTGCATTTGGTGCAGGGGGAACAGAATGAACCATGGGGCAGGAGGATTACGGTGATTGAAAATAGGTCCACAAATCCTTTGATACCCCTCTTCAAAGGTGAGCCTAATTCCCCTCCTCTTAAATATGGACATAGTGATTCACTTCTAACAAATAAAATATGGCGGAAGTGATGATTTGTGACTCATGAGGCTAGGTCATAAAAAGGATAGCTTACACCTAAGCACTCTCTCTTGGATCACTCACCTTGACAGAAGCCAGCAAGTATATTCAAACAGCCCCGGAAGAGACCTGTGTGGAGAGGAACTGGGACCCGTCTCCCACAAGGAGCACAGAAGCCGCCTCAGAAACAGATCTTCCAGCCCAGGCATGACTGCAGCCTCCTGAGAAATTCCAAGCCAGAAGCACCCAGCCAGGGGCCTCTTAAATTCTTGACCCACAGAAACTGATAATAAGATCATTTATTTTTTAATTGTTTTAACCAATACGTTTGGAGGTAATTTGTTTCCAGCGCAACAGATGACTTAAGAAAGCATGAAACTATGGATATGCCGAGGGCTTGAAGTTGTTCAGTTGCATCTGCTTGGGGATTAGTGAGAAACAAGGTCGACGGGGAAGGTGGAGGGAGATCATGGAAGGCCTTGAACATCAGGGGAAAGTGTTTGCCTTTTATTTGGTAGTTGAAGAAATGTGCAATGCAGGCTTAGTACACCCAGATCACGTTTGACTTATTCTCTGTTAGAGTGGTAAGGGCAGCAGTAGCCACATTTAGTGTTGGGGAGCATGCTTATCATTGAATTGTCTCTAAAAGAGGAGAAAAAGTAGCCTATAAATGCCACAACTACATAATAAGTTCATGGAGGGCAGGGGCCATTTTTTTCTTTTTTGTCATGCTTTGTCAATGTAAAGGTGCTGAAAGGATCAAGCCTCCCCTGACTTTATAAAAAAAAAAATGTTTAAGTAGAGGGAAAAAAAAACTCACATATCCAGGTCACTAATGTGACACCATTTCCTTGATTTTTCTTACCTGCCAGCCTTTTTGCAAGGAGGGGGTGACACATTAAATTGCTTCCACCTGCGACATC